ATGTCCTGGTCCGAACATTGAATGCTGCAGCTGTAGCGAGCCATGGCTGGAACGTGTCAAGGCATAAACAAATCTAGACAGAAGCCATGCCAGCTGAGCACGAAAGTGCCTGGATGACAATTTAACACACATGTGAGTGTATATACCATGTGGCTGCACGTGCCTGGCTGCAGACAGCATGCATGAATGCCCGATCGAGCCCCATTCATGGAGCTCTGTGAAGCCTGAAAGGCAAGCGGGATGGCAGAGCTATATATGCATCAGCAACAAAAAGTGCAACAAGTCCGGACAAAAGAGCATTCACTCAGGCAAGAACTGCTTTCTCGTGGCCACATATCCGATGGAAGACTTCGCTGCACACGCATGTACACATGCCCATGTACACCTCTACATATGCATGGCTGCCAGCGAGCAATCTGCCCTGCTGTCGCACGATCTAGGACTTAGGTGCCCGCTTTCTTTTGGGGGCTCGCTTCCTTTCTTTGATCTCTGACGACTTCATCCCATGTCGCACGTGCTGGAGAACATCCTGGGTCAACTCAAGCCAAACACCTCGAGAGCCCAATCCCTCAAAGAGGCATCGACAAGTCAACTTTGTCCCATCGTTCTCGGACGGCAGCTCTATGAACACGTTGTGCGGTGCATACATCTGGTGCTTCACGGTCGCCTTAAACTCTTTCTGTTTCTTCTTGGCATTCTTGCTTTGCTTCTTTCCCACATTCTCCTCGCTGCTTTCCTCCTGCAATCTCGCTGCGACTGCCTCGTTGAAGGCCGACTGGCGAGCAGAGAGCAATTTTTCAAAATAGATGTTGTCAAGAGAGACACGAACATCCGAGGCATCTTTTTTCTTGGCCCGGAGATCCAACCCTTTCCCATGAACGAACCGCACCAAGCTCCGATCCCATTTCTGCAGGAGGAACCAAACCGTTCCTTGCTCCTGCTTCTGTGTGGGCACCCACACTTGTTTTCCATACTTAACGACCTTCTGAGTCATCACGGCGATCGACTCTGGATCATGTTCTTCTTCTGCTGATGACTCTTCAGGATCCATGTTTGAAAGGGGCTGGTTATCGAATCAAGATATACCTTCAAAGCAGGAAATGCTGCATCGTGCATGTGCATGTAGCCACATGACATGCATCAGGAGTCTACATGTGACCTTCGAAATTCATGCCTTCCATGACAGCAATCGCTCATGCATGCGGTCTCTTTGCAACAGGACCGTCGCCTCCATCAGCACTGACTGACCAAGCCAGATCTTGAAATGCATATGCATGACACGTGCCATGATACTTCGAGGGCTTGTCCAGGCTCCTCACAGACATGTTCTATATACACCGTGTTGCAGGTTCCTCTCATGGATCCTCCAAGGGCCTCTTTGTGCTGTGCCGTGTCCTGGGCGGGGTGATATCCTGCTTCAACGGCTCCACATTGATAGACCTGCCCTGCTTGTGCATGAGGAGAGTGTCGCCCTGGTGCAATGCATTCATGTTTCGGAGCAATGGGAGGAGCACGCCTTTGTTCCTCGCGCTTTTCACATGGATCACCTCCATATTCAAGCCCTCCGCATCTGTCAGACCCTGAACGAGGAAGGCTGGATTCAGGAATCCTGCAGCATCGCCCTCGGCTTTGGGCAGCTGCATGTACGGCTGAACCCAAAAGAAACAATCGGCCATCGGTGTGCCAATCTGGAACACGGCATCTTCGGGTTGTTTGGAGCTGTGCTTGATCTGTACTGACACAGGGCAGAGAAACAGCTTCTGCTTGGGGATTGTGCCAGTCACCTCCACGGCTTTCCGAGGTTTCAGCAAGAGACGAAGTTTGCTCAAATACGGATTCTGGGAATGCTTCTCAAACAACTCGTGCATGTCCAGGTAAAGCTCTGCCAGCAGCTTTTGCTTCTGGTACTCGGGGCTCTGTGTGGGGAAATACTGGAAAACGTCTTCAATGACGTGGGGCTCAGGTTTTGGGGTGAACACGGACCATTCCCCTGCCAAGAATCCGTCCATGGATACCCTGACTACATCGTCGCCTGCCTGCTTCAATCGAACTCGGCCTTTCTCCACCGACAGGATCTCCCCACTCTCCTGATCGGCCTTGCGACGGACGTGCTGTCCGGCTTCGAAGCCGGCCTCTTTCAGCAGGTCTGCAGAGTCTTTGACCGAACCATCCGCGGCCAATTCTCGCATGATGGACTTCCGTGCGGGCTGGCTTGATGAACTTGCAGGACCAGCCGTTGACTTCACCTCGTGCGCTGCCCAGGGAGAGGCCAGCTTCACTTGCCCGATGCCTTCAAGAATCA